TTTTGAACCTTTTGAAACGGCACCTCAGCTTAAGAGCAATTAAAGTGCAAAACAGATGATAACCAACCATCATTATCGGCAAACAGGAGTCAGGTCACTTCTTTGCTCAAGAACTACCTTTTCTAACTTTAAAACAAGCGTCTAAAACGTAGATCAAACAGCAAGATCGTATTTTAAACCGTTAGTTTAGGGCCTGTAATAATAACATACAGTTAGCTAAGACATACATCATTTTGATTAGCAATATTTCACGGTAGTTTAATGGAAAGTGGGCTTAATTATAATATCTAAATAAAAGTAAATGTTAAGGATACATTTCCACAGCTGTCATTTGCGCACAGAATAACAGGTTTTATAAATGCACAGAATCCTGTCAGACTAGAAATGTCTGCTGGGTCCTCCTTGGCAGAGGAAAGCAGATTAGTTGAGGGTTATCAATGAGGAGATTTGCATCCAACAAACACATCAAAATGAACATTTCTGATATAAACAGCTGTTGTTTTATTATTATTATAAATGGAAATTGATTGGTTTTTGATTTTTGATTTGTTTCCAGCTGGATTTTATATGCATATTTTTAATTACTAAATGTGTTTAATACCAAAATAAATTCCTTTTTATATTGTTGTAAAACTCCCCTTAAAGTTTTTATACCAAAGAAAAGACTAGACTATAAAATAATAGCTGGAAAAAACATCCATACCTTTCACTTCTGTAGACCTACCTTTGTCCTTAACCCTCTCTGCTCACCTTGTTGCTAGGATACACGCCTCTTTACACGTCTCCTCGTTTACACATCGTCGATTCATCAAATGCAATGGCTACCTATCACAGTCCAAACAGGAAAACATCATCTTTACAAACATTTTTCTGGATCGTGGAACAAGCGGCGCACAGGCACGGCTGCTGCTGGTTCAGGTGTGCACTAACAGGTAACCTGAAACTCTGACGCACCTGGGAGCTAAGAGAAAGTGATGCGTTTAGCGTGCAGTGCAACTATGAGAGGCCACACAACATGGACACTCACAATGGGACACACATCAGGAGGAGCAGGTTGCAGCCAGACCAAGCCTAAGGCTGAATAGGGCTCTCAGCCGAATTAAACGTGGGATCAGTTACTTTTGTATTTGTTTTTTTCAATTATGTATTTTACATCTGAATCAATTTGTATTATTTACTTTATTTTCAGAAAAGCAACAAAAAAATTAAGCTTCAGTAGCAGATACATTTCTTGTACCAGGATACCTACTATTGTTATACTGCTTCAATAAACTTCATAAAGCGATGAATTTTAAAATATTTTCTTCTTTTTGCTATGAGGCTTTTGAACATTGAATATCATAATGATAATAATAAAAAAAAATAATTTAACTTTATTGATCTCACATTGGAGAAATTTACCTCTGCATCTAACCCATCCATTTGGAGAGCAGTGGGCTGCCATTCTGTGGCGCCTGGAGAGCAATCGGGGGTTAAGGGTCTTGCTCAGAGACCCAGAGTGCCATTCTGTGGGAGTGGGTTTCAAACTCACATCCTCAGGATTCCAAGCTCTATACCCTAACCACTAGGCCGCCACTCCCCTATACCCCCTATATCAATCTAATATTTCTCTTTCCACACAACCATGAAATATTCTTCAGGGTGATAATAATAAAAATAAAAATGCGTATAAAACATCAAAGGGATATAAAATCACGAGTCATTGAATGCATTTGTAGAAACGTTACATGCTTTGTATGCTTTAAATGTTTCCCCCCTCCGGATGATAAAATGGTGTGAATCGTGGCCTTCTTTCTGTCATAAGGGAATTCTACCAATGAGCTTCCATAGTCATTGTTCTGTTTTATTCTCTGACCAACACCAACTCGATTAAGGACTGCGTCACAACTTGAAAATTGAAACAAAGGTGTTTTGTGGCATCCTATGCTTTCATATCATGAGGTTATGCTTGGATTATCTGTGGGGGTCAGCTGTCAGGGGGCATTTTAGCTCTCGCACACGCATAATAGGCGTTCCCTCTCGGGAGCAGGTACAGGGTTGTGCATCTGCATTTTTTTTTTAAAGTGGAGAGGGCAGGTCTTTTAACAAATTTGCAAAACTCCTCCTTAATACCTTTAAACTGCTGCTGAGGCACAATGAAGTCTTTTCACATGCACACTTAGCCAATACTATCAGGTCTCCTCAAGTTCCTGAGGCCCCATAAAACTCTGTTTACATGTATAGTTAATACAAGTATTCCTTATTTGTGCACATTAATTATGTTTTTGATAAAAATTAGTGTTGCACCGATACCGATACCAGTATCGGACGGGGCCCCGATACTGCCGTAAAAACGGTGGTATCGTTATCGGCGAATACCAACAAAGAGGGCACCGATACCATTTTGAGAGCCATAACTATTCAACTATTGTCACCCACTCCTGGTAGGCAATAAAAAGTTCTACTGGATTCACTTTGTATTAGATTTTTTCCTGCTTCACAAAGGTAGGCAGCAGCTTGACAAAGCCATGATGGCAATTATTTTACATTATTATGGTATCGGTAGAAACCAATACTGCACAGCCAGGTATCGGGTATCGGTATCGGGGCCAAAAAATGGCATCGGCGCAACACTAATAAAAATCCATACGAAAGCACCGAACTCTGCTCTCCAGAGCGAGCAGATTGGTAACCCCGCCTCCTGCTCTCCTCTAGCTTGTCTGCTGTCATGATTCATGCAGCTATTATTTCATCCAAATGAAAAATGGAGAACAGATAAGCAGATCATGGCTTGTCTACA